CGGGCCTGACCTAGGGAGGATTTTAGGTAGGGATGATTTTAAGAAAATTTTAATTGACACACAGCTTCCAATATTTGGCTTTTAATTTGGTTTTATGGGGTTTTTTTGTTTTTTGATGTATTTTGTTTGTATCTGTTTTAATATGCTGTGCACCGCCCTGAGTCCTACGGGAGAAGGGCGGTATATAAATTAAATTAAATTATTAAATGGCAAAGTAATGTGCTAGTATTCTGATTACATTTAGTGGTTTCTAGATTATGAACAATTTCATGCATGGTCTAATTATAGCATATCTTGTAAGTAGGGCTACTTCTTCTAGGAACAAACAGAAATAGAAACCAGGGGAAAGTGTCTTTCCTCTGGCAAGTTCTGAAAAGAAGTCATAGTCCATGCCTTCTGCAAAGTGCTAAAGAAACCAGAGACGGAACCATCTGTTGTTTACTACTTAGATCTAACTTGGAGGAGATGCCAGTGAGTGCTATCAGACTAGTATATCCCAGTACATTGATTTGTTGCTAAACCACATTATGAGTTAGCATGATCTTAGCACTGTCTCCCTGCCACCATCAATAGATTCTGCTGACCTGGTAATTAGCATACAAATAATTGGAGAAATGCAGATCCCAGGCATCCAAACTGCTCACAATTTAAATTTAAAGTGTGGCTTTGGTCATACTATATGAGATTGGTGAGTCTATTAATTAATTAAAATAAATGTGAGAAACAAATAAACCAACTTAGTGTAGGCAATTTGCAGGAAATACATCTTCCATTGAAATGGCAATTAGAGGTCAATTTGATTAATAGCATATATGTATTTTATTCAGTACTTGTCAGCACACTGCTGTTTGGACAGAGATGGTTTCTATTTGGTATATGAAACAGTAACTCCCAAAGAAGCACTCAAACAGATTTAAAATAATAAACATAGCCAAACATCTCCAGTTACTAAATTTACTATACATTTATAATACAGGTAGTTCTCGCTTACCGACCACACATTCAGTGACTGTTTAAAAGTTGCAAAGGTGCTGAACAAGTGGTGCTTATGACCAGTCCTCTAAGTTCCAGCACCCCTACAGTCACATGATCATGATTTAGGAGCCTGACAACCAGCAGGCACTTATCAGTTGCAGTATGCCACACTCATATTGATCACAATTTGTGATCTTCTTTGCCACCTTCCCACAAGGGAAGTCAATGGGAAAGCTGGCAGGGAAAATTGCAAGTTGCTCTGTTACATCCCCACTCCTCCCTGACCTTGCATGCACAGGCATATAACTCTAGTGCGGCCTGCAGCTGGCTGCCCAGGGCCTCTCCCGCCCCACCCACCTGCAGCATCCCCATGCTCCTCACCCGAGATTCCTGCCGCTTCCTGCATGATTTGGGATTATAACAGCAACCAGGATTGCCTAAACTGCTGTCACTAAGTGATGCAGTTACATGATACAATCTGGATCCCAATTGCCACTGTAACCCAAGGACTACCTGTACAAAATTAGTTTTTAAATGGAGACAATTTTAAAATATATGGTTGTGATTGCTCAAGATCAAAATTAAGGATTCTTCTGTAAGTGTTTTAAGAACAGAAATCCATTGAATCCATTTTATGTCTTAGGAAAAGTGGAAGTAGGTAATTTCAATGCAATTTATTAACCAGATGTTTTGGTTCCAAGTTGACTGAACCAGCAATGTGTGATGGTAGGTGCTCTGATGGTATAAGCGACTCTGATGGCCCTCACTGGCTTAGAATGCTTTGCATTTAAAATAGAAGTCTAATATGAATACAATTAGGATTCTTCTTACTGCCCAAGAAAATCCTAACCTGAAGCCTTTTCCTTTTACAGATACTTACTATCATCTCCAACAGGCCCTGCTGAACATTGTGCCGGAGGATCACGTGCCAGATCATTCAGCTCCTAAAAACCAGTCACACTAAATTAAAATATAGTCATTTTATCTCACAGAAAGGCATACAATATACTATAGCATTATTTTATTATTAAATTTTATTAAACATAAAGGAAAATGCATAACATAATTAATGAAACAATCTTCAGAGGATTACCGTATACAAGTTCTTATTACCCTCCTCCATCACTCCCTGCTTAAAAATACAATGGAGCTAAAAAGAATTATTAAAGTAATGTTCTCAGAAAAATGGGGATCATTTGTATAATTGCAGAGAATTCTCTGTTATCTCCCTTTTTTTGCTATGGGTGGTCTATATGAATAGAGGTGCGAGTGGAACATTTTAGCTTATGGCTTCCCAAAGGCTTTAGAACAGCTCTTGGAGCTACTGCCATCAATTTCAACAACCCAGAACATTCTATATTTATAAGAAATAGAAAGACAAACATGCAGCTGGACATTTAATTAATTCCATAGCCAGAAATGCTACACTGCCCTGTATCTCACTACAAACTATTATTAAAGTCTACTCAAACTATAACCAGTGGTGCAAATTAATGTGTCACATGGCATTCAAGCCAACTAACAAGTTCATTGAACTGCTAATGCTCCACTCAACTCTTTAGGTGCTGGTCCACACTGTACATATGGGGGGTGCCAGGGTTGAGGAAATTAAGACAGTGATGAGGATTTTCCAAAGATTTGCCACTCTCCTAAATATGTAAGTATGATTTAGCAAGTTCTGAGTATTTTGTATACAAAATTGTGAATATATTAATTTTTAAGCGCTTTATAAATTATAGCACAAAACAAAACCATGTAAAGCAGTTTAAGTATTGTACTAAAAATCTGGACTTTACTTGGAAATTATTTTTGTTGGGTCAACATTTAAGCCTGACAGTCCAGTAACACATACAGCACTTATCACTTTGTGTAATTAATATTCTATGAGAAAAAAAAATGAAGGGATTGAAAATAGCTAATTTTAGCACACCTGAGGAGCTTTTTTTTAACAGATAACTAAAAGACACCATTGCCATTCTTATATTGCTATTGCTTCTGACAGGTGGGTATTGTAACATTTCTACCGAGGACTTGGATTTGGAATGTTCCCTCTCTAAACTTTTCATACACTTCTAATAATGTCCACTGGAAGACAACTGAGGAATCTCAATGAAGCAGCACAAGTACCATTTTGGTAGCAGAAATAGAGAAAAATGCCAGAATTACAACTGGTTAGAAAAAATTCTCCCCCAAGTACTCTTATCTGTACAATCTAACACTTATTCTAGGAAAAACATGTACAACACTAATTCTACAAAAGGTCCCAGCCTGCCCATGGAAGTAATGAGTAATGAAACAGTGGTTACATTTCCCCTGCATACCCCAAAACCTCCCAACTTGATCCCAGAACAGCAAAACAATGGAGTACCTTTGACAATACATTTATATGTACAGTAAATTTATTTATATATATTTCTATTCCTTTCACATGGAACACATTTTGATGCGTGAAACTATGTCTATGTAAATAACCTTCTAATTAGCATGGCCTGATTTTCTAAGTTTAAATCACAAAGAAGTTTAATGTTTCTTGAACAATGTGCATACTATTTCACTGCCATGCAACTGATTAATTATTTAAATCCTACTCTTCATCCAGAGTTGTTTACAGAATAAAAACAAGACAATTAGACACTCCCAAGAAATGCACTAGACCAGGAAAGGGCAAGCTTTGGTAGTTGGGGGCTGCCATTTTATTTATGTAGGGCAGGCTGCAGCAGGTAGGATGATGAAGCAATGTCACAAACAAAGTGATGAGACCAGGATTTCCAAATGTGACTGTTTGTTTTCATTTTAGGGGTGTGTTAAGCCTAAAAATGAAGCTGCCACCACTTCCCACTTAAAACCAGCAGGAAATCACATCTGGGTTTGGCAGCACAATTTAATGAGGCTTGAGTTGCCCACCCCTCTAGACATATAACATGGTAGTACTTTGGCACAGAAGATATAATTATAAAGTATAAGAAGTGTAAACATAAAGGGAAAAAACTGAGGTAATGGTTGTATTTATATTTGGCTCTTCCTTCAAAAACAGTGTAGAATACAATCACAGAAATAGTATCTGAAATCCTTCATAGATGTATTTAGAAAATAGTCCCATCAAACTGGGGAGCTACATGTTTCAAAAATAATTGTCTGGAATTAAGACAAGGGATATTAACCCAGACAAAACAGTGCTTGACCATAAGATGGATCTTGTCTTAACTGGTTTGTAACATCAGACAGTTTTTATTTCTGAATGACATAAACATCATTGAAGAGGTGAGAATTTTCAACCTCTTCATACCAGCTGTAACATAATAAAGCTTCTATATATTAATTCACCTTTAAAATGTCTAGATTTGATTTTTATCAATTCACAAATAAGCCCAATACCATGCATAATTTGGGATATGCTGTTCTGAAGCAGAACACCAAACATTTACAGGATTAGTCTTCTGTGGAGGAGGGGTGCTTTTTCATATCATAGAATGAAAGCATCTACCTTCGAGAAACAGAAATAATCAATTACATTAGCGCACAACCTTTGGAAATGAAAAAGTTACAATGAATATGAAGGGCATGAATTCACCAATAAGAAAGTTGGGGAGAAATTTCTGGGAGGCCGTTTTTTTTAATTGTAATATGTCTATTTTCTAGTTTATATGATCCATTTGTGTTTCCAATATCTAAATTAAACTAATGAGTTTTCAACAATCATTGTCAAAGAAAGCTCCATGGCTGAAAACAGGCTTGGAGAAAGGGGGATAGGTTACCCACTGCTGAATTATACATTTACATTCCATCTCTAGAAATCCTTTGATGGAATTGTCTTCCTTAATGTTGTTGTGGAGATGTTATATTTTTGTCCTTTTTGTGTTACATTTTAAGTTACCTTAGGTTTGAGAGGAAAAAAAAACTCATTTTCCCTTGTTCTATTCATGATCAATTTGAATTTTAGAAAACAACGCTTTTGCCTCCAAATTTTTCTTTCTTGTTCCTTTATCTTTGAATATCTCTCCGTGTTTTTCCATTTTCATTCTTACCCATTCTGAACATTTCTGGATCTTTTCCTCCCACTTAAGAGATACCAGAGGGATTACAACTCTCAAATGGAGTTCAACTGACTTTTACCTGATTACAAGCATGCATTTTTATATTTCTTATTTATACTTCTCAAGGTTTTTAAAGAGCCAGTGGCTTAATGCGTGAATTGTTATGTCTTGCACTGTACATGATTACCTGTGACAGCTCAGGTTCTTGATCATTTGAAGCATATCAGAGATTCCCTTTGTCATTATTTCTATTATTTCCTCTCTTCTGTTTTCACTGTCCTAAAGCTTTTAAGGCTTACCTATGTATTAGAAATTATTTGAAGCTTATATCAAAGTGTTATAAAGAGGAAGGCAAGAGATAATTTTCTGTGTTATACTTCTACCAATTTTGGAATTTAAAATAAAAGTGCCATTGCTTTTTACTCTGCCTGTATATACTATTTTTTATCAATGTCTAATGAGGATTTGTATGTTGACTATCATAATTGTCAAAATATTTTAGCTTTAAAAAAAACTTGATGCAAGCAATCCTAAATACTGTTTTTACCACAGAAGTGTGGAAACTATTTTTTATACACAGAATAATGCATTTCAATCAACACTTTTCTTTTATTAATTAAATTTGCAGTAAACATATGTGCGAATATCATATTATATGTGCAATACTTGGTAATCTTTTCAACATGATATACTAGCTGTACCTATAGCTACTAGCTACATACTGCTACACTATACTAGGAATGCATAGGCAAAAAAAAATACACTACTTTGTTTCTAAGCATCCTACTATGTCTGAAAACAATTAAACTGGAAATTCAAAAGAAAAATATTAAGTATCTTCTAAAGTTTTCTTTCAGAATACATGTTACAAATTAAGCCTCAAATGACTTTAAGACCTGAAATTCAAAGAAAGTCACAGTGTAATGTTAACATTGCTACCCCATACAATTAGGATGCTGTATATACAATCTACAATTTATCTGGGGAGAAAACTCCCTATTTTATAAGATACAAAATATCTTGAAATATTTAGTGTGGGAATTATTCAAGCATATTAGACCTGGAACATGGTGGCAAATACTATATACTAATCAGACTTTTCTTGGTCTTCATATGCCTCACATTCCTTCATTTACTATACAAATGAAAAGCTGAAGATTTCAAAATACAGAAATGCTACCAAGGCATGAATTAACATGAGAAAACATTGAGGAGCTTGCTCCATTCACTTTCTGAATGCCATGAAGGTGAAAATAAAACTTCAGAATAAACAGCTATGGACCTTGCAGATACCAATTCTGATTAGCAATATATTTATTCAGTATTTTTCATGTTACTGTTGACAGAAAGAATGTAAATTAATTTTAAAGGAGTAAATGTAACTACGTATTACATTATACTTGCAGCCATACAAATTCCATTCTTCTTCCTTTGATGTATTATAGGAAATATAGATTTCTTCCATGTTGTATCTAAAATGCTCTTAAATCAAGATAAACTTAAAACAGAAAGAATAGTTTTATTTCCCATTTATCAACTATAAAGTTCAAAATACTTTGTATCTTAAAATCAAACAATCTGCAGTTTTGTTTCTCACAATATATGTATACACATATTTTTTAGATAAAACTTTCCTAGGGCTCCCCTTATGACAATGTTCAGATTGTCTAGGGGAAAACAATTGACTTGATTACTCTTGCAACTACAATTTGTCAATTATCTTCTAACATCATTTCAATATGTATTTCTTATTTTTCAAGCAGAAATAAAATATGCTATATGTATTAATCCCTCAATGGAAGGAATTATATATGCTCTCTCCTTAAAACAGACATGTCAAACACAAGGCCCGGGGGCCGGATGCGGCCTGCAAAATGGTTTCACGTGGCCTGCGAAGCCATCCTGAAAACAGTGAGGGAATGGCCCCCGCTGCCTTGGCCCTGGCCCAGGCCAGCCGGGAGCCAATGTACAATTTTGTGGTGGCCATCTATGCTGAAACGCATTCAGCCTTAGCTCCACAAGGCCGTCTAGAAACAGTGAGGAACCAGCCCCTGCCGCGTCGGCCCCGCCCCTTGGGTCATGCTGGGGAGGTGTCACCCTTTGTGAGGAATGAAGAAATAGATTATGCCTTGGTGCTTGCCCCGGTCCCGGTCCCGCCCCCTTCTGCCAGAGACCCTCAGATCTGTCCCATTCCTGCCCAGGCCCCCACAGGCACCTTTGACGCAAACGATGTAGAGCTGGCCATGCCCATCCAGTAGGCCACACCCACTCCATCCACGTCCACCCAGTAGGCCGCACCCACCCGGCCCCGAGGGCAACCGCAATGCTGATGCGGCCCTCAATGAAATTGAGTTTGACACCCCTGCCTTAAAAGTAACTTTTCATACCAGACTGAAGTTCCTGCAAGTCCCTATTTCTTCCAAACATCACAGCAAAAGAATCTTGAAGTAGAGAGATCAATATGCTGCTGAGTGACACTTTTATCAGATGTCAGTCAATCCAATTGGATACCTGCACTTATGCAAACTTGGAATAAGCATCTTTAGGGCAATGCCTTGGCTTCTGCTCTGAGGACACTTCTATTTATTTTATTTTTTTTAGCCCAGCTTCATTTGGCTTAAGCGCCATCAAGTTGGTGGCACTAGACAGATATCTGGATAGCTTCCCTCCTGAATGATCCATCTTCAACTTGACCTTTTAATTTGAACCTTTTCTGAGCTTACCTATCTAAAACAGTGATTATAAGCAGGGGGAAAATTAGTATTCTGTACACTTTGAACTACAGAATTAATCCAATTAACAGACTTGAATAGTAAATAATGAAAATCTTACGTTTTCTTGTTGGATACTAAAGATGAATAGGCAGTGTTCACTGATTTTCACTATTACAACACTTTATAATGAGGCATTATATAATCTTGAGATAAAGTTTGCCAACATAAACAGAAAGGAAAAAGAAATTTAAGATAACTTTTTTCCAAAAAGAATAGAAACAAAAAATAGTTACATCTCTAAGAAAATCAAATCAATGAACTGGGCAATTCTGTTTAAAGCAGGAGGGCAAAGTGAAGGAACAAATAAAAACAATACTGGTTTGGATGTTTCAGTACTGCTTGACCAACCAGAATCTCTTCCAAAAGGAAACATATGTTTCAATGGCATCAAGTAGTAGTGAACTTCCATTAACTTAGCATCTATGGAAGACAATCTATCCCAAGCATGGTTCTTTCAGAAAATTCCTGGCTTAACCCACTGATCATTTTCTTCCTCAAAGGGCAGAGGAAAGAATAAGACTTGACGCTAATCAGTAAGACTTAGATGAAGAACCAGAAAGTATTGGGATTATTGGAAAGTGGAATGTAGGGCGTTTTGGCCTATTTGCAGATATTTTGGTCTGTTTTCTAATGAGATGAAAGCTGTGTCTCTCTTCTGGTTTTTTAAAAAATAATTGCATTTTAGTACACCTTCCAATTTCTGTGTTTGTGTTTTTTGTTGGATATCCATGAAGGTTCTATGAGACATTGAGGGACAGCTGAGTTTTTCAGAATATTATCTGTTTCTGGCCAAGCATAATTATGTCTTCTACAATGCTTTATGAAGGACAAAATGTAGTCAGATTCCCACCACTCATTTTGGTTGGGAAGAAGCAGCATGTATGAAAATGGATGCCAAGGAGAATGAAGAATCTGGGAATGAGGGCGAAGCAAAAAGAGCAAAGGTTAGCATAAAGTGTTATATGTTTAAGCTGTTGTCTTCTATTGAATTAACAATAGAATTGGACAGAGTACGAAAACAAACAAAAAAGCCAAGAATGCAAATTTATAAACAATATTAAGCAAAAAATTATTCTATTGATAATTTTATTCCACTGTGTCAAATTTTCTTTCTTGATAAATAACCATGATTTCTGTGTAAGATGGGCTGAGACATTCAGTCACAATGACACAAAACAAATCCTGATTTAGTATTGTGAAGAAACAAGGTCACAAATCAGAAAATTCTGACTCAGAAATATCCTAAAAACCTTCTATCAAACTCAACAAATAGTTGCTATATATCTATTTTTTAAAAAATAAAATCAAAATACAGTTGACTGTTCTCCCTTTCATAAAGGTTTATTCTTAAGTCCAATATTTCAAGAATGGCACAGAATTAACAAATCAATAACTAATGTGTGATTGCTCTTTAGCAGTTAAGTAAGTCAATTATATGCACTAATGAAATCCAAAAGCACATAAAAAGCCTTGCCTATTTCAGCAACCTTTCATAGATCAATATATCAGCTTTTCTAATTTAATCTCTTTAAATACATATGTTAGCTTAAAACTAGAAAAACAGTTTGTAACAGAGAAATAAAAGAATACAGTATTTTAGTTTCTTATTGATGAATGATTTTAGGTTTTATGACCAGACAACTAAAAATATTCAGAATATTTAAATACCCCAAAAATATCAATCAAGCTCCATTTTCATACATTTTAAAGTTAGTGCTTCTCAAATGCAACAAAATATTGTTTAAAAAGCCAATAACACACATTACTATAAAACATAACATCATCAATGCCATTGCAAGATCACCTGGGAGTCTTTACTCCCAGCCATAGCAACCTTAAAGCAAAACTATTTTCCAAACCAAGGCCTTTTAACAGAAGTAGCATTTTCACCTACTGCTTATTCTATAGTGGTGATTCCTATGAGCACGATTTTGTTATCCAAGAATCCATTAAATTAGTTGTTATATTACCTTGTGTTTATTACTTCCAGTGCTACAAAACCAAGAGCCTAGAACTTTTAACTGATTCCAATTACATCCTGATGTATCAACATTATCATCTGTTTGAACAAAAAAAAAAACCTACCCTGGCAAGTTAGTGATATCACCAAAATATTCTTCTTGCAATCATAGCAACTAGTTTCTGTACTTACTTCTTTGAAATAAACTCCACTGAGTTCAGTAGAATTCACTCCTAAGAATTGCTTTCCAGGATACTCTTGCTTAGTATGTTGACACCAAATAAACTTTTGATGCAGCAAGACACACAACCGCAGTAATGGAGATATAGAGGCAAAAAGTTGTAAGCATAGAAGCAATAGTGGGAGCAACAACTATTAACATTATTTAAGAGGGCACATCCCTTGGGTAGTGAGGGACGCTGAAGCAGATCTCAGGGTCAGCACTTACTGGCTACAGCGCTTTCCCTTTGTTCATGCAAGTCAACGGAATGGTCCCTTCCCTCGATCGGCACCACGCAAGATGAAGGTACAGATCATCCAAAGTAACTTCTTAAGAAGGGATGCCTAAACGCGCACCTGTGGCTACCGGCAAGCCACCAATTCTGAACCCAACTGCTTCGAAGTGTACTGGACGGATGACTTTCGAAACGGTGCTCGAACCCTGCTTCGGTGATGAAAGCGGGTACTTTTTGCAAACCTCCTAATAAAACCTTCCAAGTTGGCCAGGTGCGCCTCTTACAAAACCACGCAAAATCCCAGTCCGGCCGGGGGATGACGGCGTTCATGTCCGAAGACCGACGGTAAGGCAGTTGACCGAGAGAGAGAGAGAAAGACCTCGCTTGCAACAAAAGGTCTCCTTCCTTCCCGTCGCGAATGCAAGGAAGGTATCTGGCCCCAGCTGGGCCAGAAACTCAACGAGCCCAGGAAATGTTTTCGGGCTTGGAGTTGCCCCGCACCCCCCAACCCCACGGGCGAGAGAGCGCCGCCCAGGCCATGGAGGAGCGCGAACGGGGGGGGGGGGGAGAAGGAAGAGAGAGGCCCAGTGGTTCACAAGCAGAGCGTTGCCTTCCAGCTCTCCCAGAGATGCCCGAGTGCCCCAGACCAAGCCGGAACGAGCTTATGTAAAGCGACAGCACCGAGGATCCCCGCCAGCAACAGCATCGCCAGCATGATCGGGGCCTCCAGCCCAGCCCAGCCCCTCTGGGCGGCCTACGAGGGCGGGAGAAAACCATGCCTAAGCTGGTCGTCGCACCGAAGGGGCTTCCGGGTTGGCCTTCTGCCGAAGGACTCTCACCTTGTGGATTCTCTTCAGCGCCATCGCGGCGGAGCCTGTGGAGAGAGGCAAGCAGGAAGAAGGAAAGGAAGGAGGGGGACTATTTTCCGGCGGCGGAGGGAGCGCAGAAGCTTTTCGGCGGAAGCGGGAGGACAGGTGTGGGTGCCGGCCTGGGGAAGGGGGGGAGCCCGGTGTTCTCTATTGCCTTCTTTCCTGTCGCCCCCACCTCTTTTGCTCGTCTGTCGCCCTTTCACTGCCTGCTCACTTCTCACCGTCGCTCTTCCCCCTTTCTCTCCCCAGCACGCTCGGGCTCTTTCACTGAGTGACTGCCTCACAGAGCAGGGACTGCTCCTTCCGCATCACTCCCCGCGCGAAGTTCTTTATGACGCGATAGGTTAATAGGATTCCTCCGCTAGGAGTCACGCATGCGCTTTTGACTGTTATTCGGCTTGGGGTGCGCGGAGAAGCGTCGTGGCTTTTCACCGGTCGGGAAGCGCGTTATACGCCGCGCGCCCGGGAACAGGCGGCCCGAGATGGCACAAGGCGCTTCGGCCGCGGACAAGTAATTATCCTGAAAAGAGGAAGAGGGAAGGCGGGCGGAAGGATATTCTCTCCTAGGAGGAGCAAAACGAGAACTCGAGAATTTACCGCGAGATTGTGGAAATACCAGGAACTGTGGCTGGTTGGAACGAAAGAGACGGGGGCTCGCAAGTACAGCTGCGTGGAATTTGCTCCTCCTCCGTGATTTGCACGAAAGAACCCCCTTGGCTCACTTAAGAAAGAAAAGGACGCAGTAGATCTTTCCCGTGTATTACTGCTGCTATTGTAATATATGCACAATCAGAACACTTGTTTTTCTTCGGGTTCGGTTCTGCGCCTTGGGTGTGCAGGAAATAACACTCCTTGCATAAATAAATATGGGCGAATTAAGGATCATAGTGCACGTTTTTCTGCATTCGTTTGAAAAACCAAAAATGCCGTTTGGATCTCAAAATGCATTAGATGAATTTATAAACTGTTCAATCTAATATCTAATTATTCACATATGTATTTAGGTAATCAAATCGCCAAACATGGATCTGCCAGATTTCTTAATCAAATTACTATACCAAAATTTAGAAAAGTTCAAATGTTTGTATCCTGCAATTCTTTATAAACGGCTGGTTTGGAAAGGAGATTCCAGAAAGTTTCATACAAAGAACAACATTGTCATTGCAAACTAAGAGCTATCCATGTGTTTATTACTATGAACTGTACACAAATGTATTACACCTTGGTTACCTCAAATTTCAGAGGCATATACTCTTACAGTATCACCAAATTCTATGTAATAGCTGGTACGACTTGTCAGGACCTTGCCAAGAACCATTAAATTTTATTATGTGTAATTTTTATTTATTTGTATTTGCTTTATTTTACTTCTAACCCTGTTTTATCTCATTATGATTATTTTACCAATAGATGAGAACATTTGTAGCTCAGGATTGAACTGGTGCTCTCTGAGCTTTATTGTTTTCTTGCAGACATTTCATTATCAAATTAGGTAACATAATCAGCACTGTGGCTGATCTTACAAGATGGGCAGAAACTAGAAATAAGCAATCTTTCAAATAGCCAGCACTTAGAAGACTTTGTACCTAGGAGATAGCCAGCATCTTAAATTGTACCTGGAAATCTACTGGTCCACAGAAAAAAATTCACAGAGGAAAGGTGCCATGTGGCCATACCATGGCATACCCTTCAACTGCCTGTGCAGCCAACTTGTGGACCAGCTCTATTTCCAAGTGATCTTCGAGGGCAATACCATATAGAACACATAGCTGTACAGGTAATCCTCGATTGACAACTGTTTAGTGATTTTTCAAAATTATAATGGCAATGATTGGTCATTGTACTGTTGCAGTCTACCCAGGATTCACTTAACAACAGCAATTTGCTTAACAATCATAGCAAACGATTGTAAAATCAAGTGTGACTCACTTAACAACCACTGTAGATGGTTTACTTTGCAACAGAAATCCTGGTCCCAATTGTGTTCATAAGTTGAGGACATAAGTGTGAGGTGACTAAGCAAGAGTTAAATAAATGGGAGGGGATAGAAGGGATGCTCATCAAATCTGTAAATAACATAAAGCTCTCTATGTGTGGGTGGGGTGTATTTCTAATATCTCAGAAGACAGGCTTATGGTTCAAAATGATCTTGATAGATTTGAACATTGAGCCATATCCACCAAAATCAGTTAAGTGGCAAGAAATGGAGGTTTCACTGGTTCTTTTTAAAGTGTACCTAATTTGACTCAAACTCAAAAGATTCCTCAAAAGCACTGGACCCTAGAAAATTGGATTTTTTTTAAATCTCCCTACAGGTGGTCCTTATAATCGGTCCTTAGAGACTGTTTGAAGTTACAGCAGACGTTCCTGGGGGTACTTACAACCTGGTTCTGATAGCCAGTGCCCCCTCACCTCACAGTCACTTGACTGCATGTCTCAGCAACCAGCCCACATTTACAGCTGTTGCCAGCATCTCATGGTCATGTGACTGCATTTTACTATGGTTTTGCAAAAAACTAGCATTTACTTCTGGTTTTCAGTATAACCAGACCATAGTGAACTATTGCTTCACTTAATAACCACAGCAGTCACTTTACAACTTCCACAAAAGTTGCAAAAATTCGTAAAATTAGGTTGGTCAAATGGGTGACCTGATTTACAACCATCATGACTTACGACCGTAATGGGCAGGCTTCATTACAGTTGTAAGTTGAGGACTACCTGTATAAGGGTTGGGGAGGTGATTTTGAAAAAATAACCAAGATAGAAAAGTACCATAAAACATGCAAACATATGGATGGGGAGGAACAGACTCAGGCTCAACCCTTCCAAGACCGAGTGGCTGTGGTTGCCGGCGCCTCGGCATAGTCAGCTGACTCCATCGCTGACTATAGGGGGCGAAATTCTGGCCCCCTCAGAGAGGGC